ACAGGGTACCTAAGCATACTGTGCAATAGTATCCAGTTGAGTACTTGATCAGTACCTTCAAGTACTCATTTACTAGTTGTTTTCCAGCAGGGTACCTACCTGAGTACCTAAAAGATACCTAAAAGTACTTTTAAGTACTCCAGTACCATAAAGTTCCTAAGACATACTAGTAGCAGGGTACTTTTTCGGGTACCCTTTGTTCAGTACATGCCCTAGGGTAGTAATGAAATTCAAAATGGTCGATTTAAGAATAGTGAATGCGAAATTTCCATTCAAAATTCGTATACGGAAATTAAAAAAAAAAATCGACTCTAATGAATCTTAAAGTGGATCATTTATTTTTAAATCTTATTCTCACTACTTTCGAATATTCGGCTCTTGTGCTTCGCACCGCATTTCGTAGTCGAGTGAAACTCGAATACCATCTAGTTTTATTATGAATTTGCTTTTTAAGCTACAAAAGTTTGACTACTTGAAGATAGTTTAATAATTGAAAGACAATCGTAAATATTTCTAAATATTTTTACCTGAAATACGTCGTCTCTATTTGATAACAATGATTGTTATCTTCGAATATATACTTTCTTGCACATCTACTTACTGAGGTTAAATCAATCATTTTACTATATCGTGTTGACTGTGTAACGAACTGATAGAGCCTTTAACAATACTCTCTCTCTCTCTCTCTGTTCATCTGATGAATATCTCTTTTCTGTCTTCCTATTTCTTTCTTACGTGTCTTTCTACCTTTGTCCTTCATCTTTATATAATTGTGTGTTATGTGTGAATGTAGGACACTGGACAAAGGAAGTAGTCAAATAAGTATCCTCAAAATACAGAGTGAAACTTATTTTTTCCAGGGGTATATATATACAGCTTTTATATCTAACTAAAACTTCACTAAAAACCCGAAACTAGTACACGATCACTTTGTGAATGTTTTTTTCTTTTGAATTATTTTGTATTTTATACTTAATATTAAACAATTTCTCAGTCAGCCCTCTAAATAGGCGAAAGGAAAAATACTGTTGAAACAAATGTCACTATAATACAAGGATTTGTCCAAAACACATGATTATACACATTAAAAATTTGTTTCGTCTAAAGGCAAAGCAAAATTAAGAGGTTTTTGGAAATTTTCTACTTTCTTCGATAACATATAGGAAAAATAGGAATTTTCATTTAAATATAGGACAAAAATAGGACGTTTTTGAAAATAGAGGAAATACAGGTCGAATCGCCGTCCAGTAATAAAATCATGCTTATGAGGATATTAAAAGATTTAAGTATACAACATGCTATTTACTTTCAGTGTGGCATATATAATATATGTAGATTTGATTCGTATTCTGTGTCTTTCCAAACAGCTATTTCGAGAATTTATTCTAATGAAACATCGGTTATTCGAACATTACAATCTTATCATCCAATAATTCATGTGCAGGCATATATATATACTTGAATTAACATATGAAATTTTCTATTTGATCATTCAGTTTAATAAATTCATTGACTATCTTAATCCACGACCTGAATATATCCGTGTCATTATTGAATGGCCAATAAAATCTTCAATTCCGGTAGCACACATTGTTGCAGCAGATATTCAATGTAGTTTACGTTTACACGGTGCTCGACGTTCTGAAGGTTTACTATGCTTGTCAAGCAAAGCTGATGCTGATCTGTCATTTTTTAATATAAAACAAGATGGTTATGATCAACAAGTTGATCGTTTATTTTTATCATTTTCGGAAGAAATTTAAAATTCAATTCGGGTGGATATTGCCGTTCGGAACACCTACACCCTCAAGTTGGTTAATTTAAACTATCTGTACGATAGTAGTGATATAGCATCAGAAAAAAATCAATTGACATTTGTTCACTTCAGCACATGATTTCTTTTTCTGGTGATTATAAAAAGCCATGTTATGCGAAAATCACATTATCGTTCCTTCTTGTGAATGAAACATTGAGTCTGTTGACTTCATACATCAGTGCACATCAACAGTCGAGTTTTTTGTCACGCAAATGTTTCTCTAGTCAACATAATCTCTCACAATTTTTCTTGATTTATAAATGGAAGTGTTGCTGTGGAGTTGATGTCGCGATCAACCGGCACATTTTCTTCATCGTAACATGTATAATATCCGTAGAGATAATTTACCTTGTGGGAAGTTTGTAATAAGCAATCTTTTCTGTAAGGAAAGAGTAGAGACAAAAATAATTTCGTGCTCTGCATGTCAAGGCAGAAAGTTGCTTGCTACACCTTACCAAGAGGTAAATGATCTTTGTTGGTCAAACTCATGTAGCGATGACGAAATTGTGCGGGTTGATGGCAACATTGACCTGCCAGAGCAACACTTTTCTAAACTAAATTAAAATTGTACATCGGTAGATTATGCGAATCTATGCTTAATAACCTGTATTCGAATACCATGTTACAGCAGTCTTCAGTGATGTTAATTCACTAACTAAAGAGCTACAACAGAATTAAAAACAAAATAGAATAGTAATTATCAATCAATTAACAAGTTTTAGAAAATCATGATAAAGAAGACATAGTCATTTTCCCTAAAATCAAGATGAGCAATAGGGTGTTGATGTCATCTTTCGCAATCAGAAGGATCTTTTTATGAATACTCTCAAAGTCATATTACTTTTCGTTGAGTAGCATTCTCAATATTCAATAAACTCAGGAGACTATAAACGAATGGGCTTCTTTTTTGCAAGCTGATTCTTCACAACTATGTGTATGCTAGCACTGATTGTGTTTTTCCAGTTTTATCCGTCATTTTTGAGCATTTATATTTTTGTTTAACGAAGAATGGTATGTTTCACCATCATAGGAATAGGCATCATCTCTTATTGAGAAAAAGAGAATCACCAGGCAGTATGCTTCTTAACAGCAGCTCTGGATAAATTCATTTATTAAAAAGTGTTGCTCTGGCAGATCGTTGATTCCAACAATCCGCACAATTTCGTCATCGCAACATGTAGCGAGTGAAGCTGTCATAAGTTTCATTTTAGATAGTAAGAATAAGAAAAAAAAGAAAGCTAAGAATGATTTATACCTTCTGGAAAAAAAGCGTCCTGTTGAATATTGTTCGCGTAGAGATGAATCGCGCAACTTGAATTTCGAGTCGAAGCAATCCTTGATAAATAGGTAAGGAGAAAAATATTTAGTTTCTTCTAAAATGGAAAGTTTATTTCGATGTTGATAATACCATGGAAGATAAAAGTAATGTACTTACATTGTCTAGATTTAGTAAGATAATTTGAAGAAGGTTTACCGAAAAACAAAACCTAATAAAAAATAACTAAAATGAAAACAAAAATAGTTAAATTTGATGATAGTACTGAAAATCGACTAATTGATTCAAATCCAAATGATGAGAATGACAGACTGCACGAAACGGTACATGTCATATAGTTTCAGTCTCTTCCATCTTAAATGACACTGAATAATCAAAACTTCACGAATACAAGAAAATATTTCTAATGAATCAACAAACTTATTAAAGAACATACCGATTGATATATACCCTGTTTCCGACGACTTGCCTCCCGACACTGAGATATCATAATACGAAGAAGCCAGTAAATGGATAAAAAATAAAAAATATGCTTTTTCACAATGAAAAAAAAACGAGTCGTTTCATAAATATTATACTACGTTTTTATCGAGATACTTCTCGTCGAAAGCTGCAAAAATGAAGCTGATAGATTGGACTGTCATTCTGTGGTAATTTTTACGATCAACTTTTTTCACATTAGCTATTCTTCAACCTTGTAGCTATCAATCAGTATTTTAAAGGAATTTTATGTGAACATCATATTTCCTGTTCCATTAAAAGATACGTACGTTTTCAAACAAACAATTTTCAATTTGTAAGCATTACAACAAAAATCGTATTCATTGATGGAAAATATATTATATAACTGCAATAAAACAACCGTACTATTCATATGCAGTAATTCACAACATCTAACTAAATCGAAATCGAAATCTAATTATAGGGTAAATTAATCATTTTAGATATCTACGTATTCATGGACAATATGAATCCGAAAAGGCTATTTTTACAATAGTTCTTTTTTAAATTTTTATTGCATCTATTTCATTACTTTTTTCTGCTAAGTTCAATGGATGATAGGTTCGACTACTCACGCTTATCTCATTGACTAGTGTTAGTGTTGATACGAACTGATTATTGTATGGCGATTACATTAAATCAAACACGTTTAACTACAATACTTGTAACTATTCATTTTTATTTACTATAGGGGTTAATGTCATGAAAGCGATGCAATTCATCCCGATTGTTTTTGTTCTAGTAGTTGCTTTTATTGAAATGAAAATCTATCGAAATCTGTACGAAAATATTACTAAAGAAAGTAATGCCAGTAAGATTTATTATATTTGTGATGAAAATTCAATTTGAATAAATAAATTCCTTGTTGAAGAACAAAACGTTTTCTCATTGGGATTTTGGACCTAGATTCTAGAAGCGATTATAAATCATTTTACTGATTGAGATATTTTATTTGATACTTTCAATAATGAACATAATTGAAAAACATGTACCACGTATCCTTGTTCTAGGCTAACGCAAATAGAATTTTTTTTCCCCAGTAAATGACATATCTTCCGATAAGAAATATCAACTTTTGTTCAATCTTCTGAACATAGATAGTTTCGAAATAAACTATCTAAAAAAACTTACAAAAAAGAATCTTTCATGCTTATTTAGATGAAAGTTTTTCATTTCGTATTCTCAAAATTGCAATTTTATCGTTTACTATTTGATTCCTTTTTTTTCTATCAACCATAATTAATTTTCAAGGTGTCCTTTTAGTGTTTTTAAGAAGAAAATTTTTAATTTAAAATACTTTTCATTGACTCATAAATATATGCTCATTTATTTGTTTTCATATTCATAGTAGTTTATCATCAAACAACAATATTCAATATATAATTTTCGTTATTTTCTAGCGAAAAATGTATGCCACTGTTTTTAACGAGAGGCAACAACACGGATGTTACTATCGGTAGTATATTTTTACTCAATAAACCAAGATTATTGAAATAGGTTTGTACAACATCAGCAATCTCATTATAGATTTGAAAAAGTAAATACAAAATATCAATGTAAATGAAAAAAGTTCATTCGGAATAAAATAATCTAATCTAATCTATATCGACTACCATGCTATTTTTCATTTCTTCAAAAACATATTTCAGAATTCACCAGGTTATTTTTTATTAACCAGCTATTCATTGTTTAGATTCAACTTTTGCAAAATCAATATCTAAGGAGAAGAGATATTTTCAAGCTCATAATATATACATCTCTATGCAGTTTGTATGAACTTATCTGATTATTCTTCAGTTATTTTTGAGAAAAATTCTAATCGAATAAAACTAAAAAGTTGATGCTAATCTAGTTATCCGTCACCATCAACAAAAACTAGCATACATTTGTTGACATTGAAATTTCATGAAAAAGTCAATCCGACCAAACAAAAGCTACTCGCATTCGAAATGAAATTGCTACCGAAGAATTCTAAGAGTCAACTGGGAAAACATGATCAGAAACGAGGACATAAGAAAAAGAATATCCAGAGAGGAGACAATAATAGACACAATCAAGAAACGAAAGTTAAGACTACTTGGCCACATCTGCAGAATGAGCGATAACAGGCTGGTAAAACATGTCACGCTTGGAATAATAGATGGAAACCCAGGTCGAACATACACGGTCGTATACGACGGTAAATCGCCTTATTTGGCCGTATTTGGCCGTATTACATGGCTCCGTATTACGATCGTAAATCTCCGTGCCGTATACGGCGAAATACGGCGCTTTACGGTCGTTTTTGATCGTATTTCACCGTATTACGACACGGAGATTTACGATCTTAATACGTAGGCATGTAATACGGCCAAATACGGCGATTTACCGTCGTATACGGCAGAAAACGGCCGTATACGGCCCGTATTTCAGCGTATACGGACGTCGTAAAGCTCGTCCTGGGAAGCCCCGAAGAGGAAATCCATGTAGAGAATGGCTGGACGACATCAAAGACTGGAGTGGATTCAGTGGACACAAGACCTGTGCCATCTAGCGCAAGACCGACGGATATGGAAGAAACTAATCCGTACAGTGGTTGGTCCCAACGGGCGATAAGCCTATGGGACATCATGAATATTTACTTTATCCAAACAAAAAATTATTTTAGTCCATGTGTTAAAATAATATTGTTTGCTTTGATCTTTCTATAACACGAGCTAAATTTGAATAAATAATATATAAAATATTATTCTCTTATTATTCTACGTTAACACAACGTAACTTTTAATTAAAATTTCAAAACAAATTTTTATCGAACTTTCCTAAATGAAGAAAAATCAAATATAAATATAGATACATATATGGAAATATTGGCTAAACAAATATCATAGTTAGATCTACTCCCGTAACTTTCAAAAGAGATTCATTTCGTCAATGTCATTTCTTCAATCTAAAATGCTTCGAAAACAGCATCTTATCAATAGATTAATTAATCATCACGATTTCTTCATTGAAAATTAGATGAAATAAGTAATTTGTTTTCTCTATGAAATACTATCCATTATATTTATATGACCATCAAGCACAAGAAGAACAAAAAAAGAACGAACAAAGAAAAAAAATATTATGACAAAAGAAAAAACATCATAAAGACGATTTTCAATGTAACATATTAAAATATGTTTCTATTTCATTCTTGATAAGGCCAAAGTCTGGTGATCCTTGCGAATTATCAATTAAATTTAATAAATCAGCATAATTCTTGTTTTTATTTTTTCTATCAAGCCAATAACTATATGCTGCACCCATCCTCTCTTGAATAGATTGCAAGTCTTTGAATGACCTGAGTTTCTCTTTAACGTCATTATCTGTCATATACATTATAAGATTTATTGCACATGGTAGATCAAAAGTTCGCTCATATTCATAACAACAAACCATTACTGGATTGAGTAATAATGTTGAAAAAAATTTCAGACCCGCATACGAAATTACTCCTTCAATAGGTAGTTGTTTTGTTTCTTGATTAATTTCAAAAGTTGCAGCATAGCCAAAATCAATTAATTTTAATCGTTCACATTTTTTATCTAGCATCAAGTTTTGTGGACGTATATCACGATGAATAATGCGACAATTATATAATGATTCAATGATATCAATAAATTGTTTTGATTGAATTAATGTTAATGACTGCAATTCGAACAATAAATTTTCAAATATTATAAATTTACCTGAAAACAAAAATAAACATATTTTGAATAGAATAAAATATTATTTGAATGATCATGAAATAAAAATATTCAGTATGAAAAATTCTCTAATTGCAAATTTCTACTCAATGAGATGCAAACTTCAAATAGAATTGATTTTATGAATAAGAAATTGGCTTAAACCAATTCTTTTATTTTTTGTTTATTTAATGATGGAAAACTATTAATATTCTAGATTTAAGAATTTTTCTATTGAGATTTGCAAAATGTTTTTCTTTAATCTAATACAAAGTTTTATTTTTTAAAACTTCGACACTGTCTATAAAGGAAAACTATTTTAATATTGAATATAATTGTAAAACTATCTTATACATCATTGAATTTCTATTCATTCTCAATAACCATAAAAAGTTTCAATGTGAGAAAAGTCAATTTATCTCGGTATTATTCATACTAAAAATACCATTGAAACTCATTCTAAATTATCAAACATATTGAGAACCTTAAAATATCACTTGTTCGAATCGAAACTCGGATCAATGTATTTCTAATTGTACATTTCATACTTTTTCATGTAAAACTACAAATATGCAATATTGATCAAATGTATTTTGTACTTAGTTTATTTGTACTTTGAAACGATGTCATTTTGATCATTTTAAATATCTTTAATGATTCTTCGAAAAGTTCGCATTTATTCGCACTGACAATGGGCATCACAAGAACCTTTCCAATCCTAACGACGGGCTAAGGACATTCTACTGAAGCTTGTCGATGAAAATAAAAATTTTTGTTATTATTCTAATTTTAAGGCTTATATATACAGTTCCTTATAATATATCCAACATACTGTATCAAGAATTCTGAGTGTCCTATTCCGAAATAGTTAATCTTTGGATAGATTGGATAAGTTTTAGATCCGTTGTTTTTTTTCTTCTCAACTACATTGTAATTCTCAACGTGTTCGATTTTCTAAATTATTATTCAATATCAAAATAGATCCGATGAACTGCATTTACTTCGAATTTAATATATTTTTAAAGAAATCATTGAATATTGATACGAATTCATTTTGATTCTATTGAATATCATCAAGAACTACATATATCTAAGATAGTAAATGAATGAAACATCATCATTAATATTCTTCATTTTGAATAAAGAATTGATTAGCTATATTGGACTATGTTTATAAATATCTTCAATTGAATTCACTAGCATTTCAATGAAAAATATTTAATATTTAAACGAAAAGAAAAAATATCAGATGCTTGTTTGTATTTAATAAGCGAGAATACATTCACGAGTATACTTTGGAAAAATATACTTGCTATTATTGCATTTATTTTAGCTCTATTTTGAATAGATGAGCAAGAATAAGATCATATCCAATTCTATAATATAATAACTAATCTATAATCATCAAATAAATTCGACAATAATCGTTCATAGTCGTTCTAATTTCTTAGCAAAACTATATTATAGAATTATCAATTTTTAATACTACAACAACGAACTATTTTCGATTTTATTAATCGAAATAAATTGAGAAGTGATTGCATAAGACTTTGTTTATTTTCTTCTATTTTTTAACTATAATTTTTATAAATCATCATTCTTTATTTATCTCATATATATGCATTACTTCAATCTTCATCTGCCTCTGTATCCACATATATAGAATATCTACACAATTAATTAGTCAAAGAAAATTTTTAATATATTCGTTATTATCAAATAAAGCGACTTGATCACTGTTCGTGAGTAAATGATAAATAAAAAGTTTTTTTCATGACGGAATATTCCACTTTCATATAGATAAAATTTTGTTCATTATATAATAATAAAAGAAAAGAGAAATGTCTGTACTTCCTAACTATAGTTGAAAATTGTCCGATATTCTTTTATTCATCTATCAAGTACTATGGCAAATGTATAATATAATAATATGAAAGAAATTATTCTTCATTGTTCAAGAAAAGAATCATTAAACAACGATTGATCTTAGTAAGTGACGTGGTTTTTGACATGAAATCACAATAATAGATCTATTGGTGGATAGTAAATAGACTTTAATCAAATTTAACTAGTGATACAGGGAACATAAATTAGCTAATTTTATTGATACGAATGGTATGTTTATTCATGAATAAAAAATAAAATCTGTTCTCTACTCTTAGAAAAAAAGAGCAGCTCATTTAGTTGAAGAATAACAATAATGTTCGAGGTTTTCTTCTTTTTTAGTCTAATGAAGTCCTGAACGGCTTATTTATATAAATATAATTATGAAAAAAGACAATTATGATTTTGTTATGTTAAATTAAAATTTCAATTGCAGTCTTTTCATGTCAACCCTTATGTTTATTTACATACAAACAAAACTAAACTGATGCAGTTTTCTTTTCTTTTTGATTATTATTAATTGGAAAAATCTCTAAAAACAACGAATATAAAAGAAATTTTATCATCTATTAATTCAAAGATCGAGATAGTTTTCTTCAAATTCATTTTCGATATAATCAACAGAGAAAAAAATTCTACTCGAGCTTTTCTCTTAACAGAAAATCAATCTTCTAATTTTTCATTTATTCTGATGAATAATTATTTTGTTTTGGCTAAGTTTCATTCAAACAAATTCTACTGAAAAACTACGATTTCTACAATATTATTTTCTCTTTAAATCTTTTCTTTTCTTATGTTCTTCTAAATTCTTCGAAAATCAAACAAAATGTTTTCTATACTTTCTTCAGTAGATTTTCAATGTACTAAAAACGTTTTTAAAAAAGAATTTTTTCAATAAAAAAATATTACCTGTAGGTGATGAGTTCAAAACATTTTCGTAAAATAATTTAAAATTATCTGAACTTTCTAATTGCTTTAATATTTTAACTTCATTTTTAAAACATGGTTCATGCTCAGGTGCTTTAGAAATTTTTATTGCACGGAGTTTTGAATAATCAGGTGATTGATTATAATCGTTCCGAACTAACTCATAAACCATTGAAGTCGCACCATTTCCCAATCTTGTTTTTATGTAAAATGTATCACTCAACAAGCTTTCATCAGGATCTATATTTAACGTTCGGTATTCATAAAAGCTTGCATTCATTGTTAAAAATTTAATAAATAGTTCCATTGTATCTATATTAAAAACTCTTTGTTTCGCGTTTTTGTTTAGTTGTAATGTATCAGCACGTGATGATGATGCAGACGGCATAAAAAACATATTGAAATCTTTACTGTGATAATAATTATTGAAAGGCGAATTTTGGTTCTTTTCAACACAGTAAAATCTTATATATTGAACATTTGTTAAGAATCCATAGACTTTCTCACGATTTTGTATTTCCAATAGAAGATCCAAATAACGCATCAATTGTCCAATCCATGATTTATCTTCAAGAGATTCTTTTAGTGTTGATTTTAATTCACCAAGGCAAACGGCAAAATCTTGTAAAGCCTCATGTTCATCGTTTTGATCGATTTTAATACTTTTGTATATAAAAGTACAACCAGGAGCTAGCCCGTTTAAATAAAACTTGCGCCTTGTGCTTAAATAGTTCAATGATGTATACATCTTAAATGTAGTAAATAATTCCTCTATTGCTTGATCGAATACAAACTGAACAGTATCTTCTACTATTTTACCACATGACTTTAAAGGATTAAAATGCTTTGCAAAAATATTTATCATATCATTGGTAACGTTAATATTATTATCATTTAATAAAGGTACAATATCGATCGGATATAAATAAGGCGCTACAAATTTGTCGTAATAACCGCTCTCATCTATCAATAATTTCAGGGCACTAGTGCTTATTGATATAAATTGACCATCGATTGTTTTCATTAGCTTGCTTCTTTCTTTGTTTTCGTCGTCTCTTTTTTGTTTCTCCAACCTTAATTGTTCTGTTCTTGCAACTTCAATCCTTGCAAGTTGTTCTGCTTCTTTTGCACGTTGTTCTGCTTGTTTTGTACGTTGTTCTGCTAGTTTTTCTTTTGCACGTTGTTTTGCTTGTTTTGTACGTTCTTTTTCTTGTTCTAGTAATATTCGTTGAAGTGCCAAATTCTTATCCACCTCACTTTCTTTAACATTCTGCTTGTCAGCCATCAATATTGTAATTGCCGCTGGTAAATTTATCTATAAAATAAACGAAGATTCTTATTGTAAACTTCACTGAATCACAATTAATTTTGATAGAGATTGCCCAGTGAAAAATATTCGCTGATTTCAATGAAATTATTGTGCAACAAAATCCAATCCGCAATTCGATTGATAATTTTGAGTTTAATCGACCATCTTGTAACCCGAATTTAATGTTATTGTCAGCCCAGTAGAAATTAGTTTCATGGAACTCGGATTGTTTTCCAGTAATATCCACATTGTCAATCGATTGATAATTCGAATTGTGCTACAGAACAATCAGACTTTAATCAAACCAATTTCCACTGGGCTAGCGATAACATCACGTTTGGATTCAATGGTGATCGATTATAATTAAACTTATCAATCCGATTGTGGATTGAATTTTGTTGGACGATGATTTGATTGAAATCAACGAATATTTTCCACTGGGTGCCTGTATTTATATATATGTAGAAACAGGTCATCATTGTATAAGGGATCAAACAGACAGAGAAAAATGAATTAACACTTGAGGTTGAATTAAGCAACGTGATTGGTGTTTCTATCTAACAATGGAAATTAAATTGGTTCATTCACTTTTAATTCGTCTTATTTTTTCAGTCTGTTTGGAGCCTAAACAGGCACAGGCACATCGGTTTCTTCCGACCGTTGAGAAAATAGAAAAAGAGGTCGCTCGATGATAGTCGCTATAATCAATTTTTGTTTTTATAGTATATAATATATTTTTGGGATGAAAAATAGAAAACTGTCATAATATATTTTAATTAATATCAATGCATTTCTCTTCGAAATGTTTCATTAGACTATAACCCAGCGGGAAAAAAGATACTATTCATAGATATTATAGAGATGAACGTAACACATGAGAAATGAGCGGAAACAAAAAAAAATTTCTTTCATTTTATAGTTTATTTGAGTTTGTTTATAATATAGAATATATTTGTTTATTATTTTTTAACATAGAACTAGGGGTGTCAGCTTACCATTATCATTGTAATATTCAATGCTACTTTTAATGCTGTTGCATTATAGTTAAAAAAAGTAATTTAATACTTTTGTATTAACATAACGCTAGTACACTATGAGTATGTAAGGTTGTTCAAGATCTATCAATCCAGTCTCACTACGAGTTTCTGTACATTTGAATTTCCTATGGAATATTGACATTAGAAAAAGTCTTTTTTTGGCTTCCAGGTATTTTGCACATGGGTGTGGGTGTGAATGCTGATTGGCTCTTAATTCACGCATAATCTTACATCCCGCATCCATACCCACATCCAACCCTTTTAGTCTTTCGCTAGTCTCACTGAGAGCTGCTTGTGGGCCTAATATGAGTTCAAACGGCGGGTGTCACCTAGGATTGTTCCCTCGTAAGTAGCAAATTCTAGAATTTCAATGCCCGCTTGACAAAATGAATCAGTTCGAAATATTTATTTAGCCTATTCGGATGAAGAAGAAATCTGCAATTTATGTTGTCGTTTATTAAATAAAATTGTTAAAAGACAACGTGATCTTTATGTATCATTCTTAGTTCGGTAAGGCTAATGTATAAAAAAAAAATCTTTTTCTAAACACAAAATAATCTATTTTAGTTTCTTTGATTTATGTCGATTTTGGTTACAATCCAATGAAACATCAATTCATGATAGTTATTATGTCATTTTATCTTGTTTACCAGTTAATATTCTAACAAGGTTAGTAAGAATTCGAATTAATGAATGAGTTAATGAGTAGAGTTTTCGTTTTTTAGTAAATTATCAACACATGGTACATTATTATCATCGAAAAATGATTATTCTGGTTTTGCTGGTATCGTTAAACGAAATCATATGAATACTCTATACTTGGGAACATTTAAAGCGCATTGTTTTAGTTTAATATTAGGTTATGTACTTGTTAATCATGAAATGCCGTATGTTTTACTTTTATTTTAAATAATATTTTAAATCATTATTTTTATTAGACGAATGTATGCAACTACATGACTTGAACGTTTATTTCAATCATGTCAACGTAAAACTACCAATGGATCATCTAAACATCTAAAGAAGAACTTTTATCTGAAGATCAACATCGTTTATTAAGTTATGAACAATTACCAAATTTTGGAAATGATACCTTGGTTTGATTTATTGAAATATATATTAAAAAAATGCCTTTTTTGTTTTTCTTTCAATCTTAGATCTAGTTTTGGGCTATATGGGAATGTGCACAATTTTGTGTTATGAATAAATTGAAAACACTACTTGAAAAACCACAAGAAACATTTCTAGCACTCGAAGGTGAAATCAATGGTTTCTTTGAACTTTTCTTAACATTGATGTGGTTCAGTCAAAAAATATCTTAGAGAACTTGATTATTTAGAAACGTTACGTTTTTTTGCTTGGCCAATTGATAACACTGCGAAAAAAATGGAAGCATCTTCACCAGAACAAACAAATCGTTCATCAACACCATCATCAACAGTAAATCCTCCAATAACCTTATCATCATCCGGTGAAGTAAATGTTTCAACAGATAAAGGTGATTGGTGATGTGATTTACATTGTTGTGATCTTTTATTACAATTAATTGAAGCACTTGAAAAATGTATGTACAATGCATATGAAGGAGCAGCTCTTTCACTTCCACAATTACGTAAAGTAAATTTTCATTTTCCCCCTTTGTACTTTGCTTTTGTTTATTCAAATATTTACTTTTTCAGACTGTTAATTTTTTTCTATTACGAATAAATCTACTCGTTTGGAATGGCTTAATCGTATACGTATTCCAATTATTTTAACCGCTGTACGAAGTGGTCAATATGAATCAGCTGTACGAAATTGTAATCAATATTTAATGCATGCTTGTTCATTAGGTCAAGCTGAGGTAAACTTATTTGAATTAACTATTCTAATTATAGAGGCACCGGAATTCGAATTTGTAATAATATTATTTGTGCAATCACTTATTAAACTTCATAACAGTGTGGCTATTCATGGAATTTATGCATGGTTAAAAAATATTCATCAACTTGATTAGTCATGGGTACAAGCTTGTGAACATGAAGCTGCTGGAAATATTGAACAAGCAGCTTATGAATATAAATTATTATTAAATGAACATTTTAAAAGTCTATCGATAGTTAATGAAACAAAAGAAGATAGCATATCAGTTGGACTTGTAAAATTTTTAACTCGAAAAGTAAATTAAAAAAAAAATGGGAAAATAAATTATATTTTTATTTAAATAGGTTTATGATTGTTATTTAAGTCTTCATTGATGACCTGAATCAATTGCATGGAATGATGCATGTATTAAAATGCAAATGGCTTTTTCACAAGATCATAATGAAGATTTACGTACAGCTATCGATACAACAATTGATATTAATTCTATTCGGTAAGAAAATGAAGCTTTGGTTTTCGAATAAATATTTAAATTTTTTTCAGAGCTATGAGTTGTTTTGAAAATCGAGATTTTGAAGGTTTAAAAGTAGCTATGAGAAAAATGCCAAATTCACAAGCAACTGGAGAAGAACTTGGTCTAAGTATTTCTTGTTGTTGGGATATGGAAGCATTTGATATGTTAGCAACGGTTGAAGCATTAAAAAGAGTATCAAAACGAAGGTAATACAGAAACAAAAATTATTTTTAGTAAATTTTACTTTTCTTTTCAAAGATCGGATCTTTGGTCACTTAATGCAGTACTTCAATTAACACAAGATTTAACACGAATTCATAATGTTGATGAACATGCATTATGGTCAGAAGAAAGAGCAGCTATTAAAGTCATGTGATAGTTTTATATCAAAGCGAAGTAAGGCTAAATATAAAATTGAATTTTATTTTCTCATGAATTTTTATCCATTTCAGAATCGTCAAGTTCCTCTTTTACTAGGTCAAAAATTTGCACCTGTTCAACATACTGTACGAGCATTGAATTCTATTCTTCTTTACAGTCAACCAAATTTGAATAATCAAAGTAAATATATCATTGTTATTTTGGGTGTGGCTGAGGGTCAATCTTCACGCACATCCTTGTCTATCAGCGTTTAAAGATTATCGTTAATCCATGACTCGTTATGTTTGACTATTTTACTTACTTGTAGGTGCATCAGCAACAATAAATTCTAATTGGACAGCACTTCGACTGGGTGCAGCACGATTGGCTCGCCAACAAAATAATTTTACATTAGCATCAAAATTACTTATTCAACAATTTCAATCAACTCATACATGGACAACGGGTCCACCAACATCACAATCTAGTAATACTTCATTAGGATCTACATTACGTTCGTTTCATTCGGATGCATCATCTATTGAAGCGTATTCACTTGCTTCACTTGTAACAATGATTGAACGTTACCAAAATGCTCATATGGTTATGATTGAACTTGAAACTGAAACAGGGAAATTAATGCATGCTCTATCATTAAATAAAGCTAATAATATCAATATAACAATTGCTATTGAATTTCTTTCACGTTCTATATTACGACATTTAATTCATGAAAGCCAATCTAATCCTCAATATAATAATCAACGTTCATTAATTAATATTGAAAAATGTTCAAGAAATTTATTACATATTGTTAAATGGTCACGTACTGCGATTGAAAGTAATCATGAAATAACAACAACAAGTGTTGTATCACTAGGCAAATTATTTCAATTAAGAAAACAATATCTTCTTACTGGATTGAGTGTTGATATTGTTGGAGGTTTGTTTATTTGAACGAATTCATTTTCAAAGAATATCTGACTTGAATATTTTTATTTTAGAACCTTTCGTTCGAAAAAATCTGTCTCTTGATGAATTATTTAATCTGAGAATTATTAGATTTTTCAACATTAACATGCCCAAAGTTAGCTAAATCATGGTTTACATTTGCTGATCAGGCTTACGCTTGGGGAAGACAATTATTTGCTCGATCTCTACCGTACGTAGATAATGTATTGAAAATGTTTTTCGAAATTTCCATGTTTCTATTACATTATCTTCATTGGATATTGGACAACAAGTTCGTACAATTCTTCCGCCGGTTTGTTCATTTGATTTTATATTTAAAAAAGAAACTATGTCGAATATGAGCAATGAATATCATATATTGTTTATAATTTTGACGGACGACAGGGAACCATCCAAGATGGCACCCGCCGTTTGAGCTCATGTTGGACCCACAAATAGCTCTCAGTGAGACTAGCAAAATACTAAAAAGGTTTGTCCCCATGAACCTTTGGACCTGAGTTATGACCTCTTTACTGAATTTTTGACAATTTTTTCGATATTGAGTGAAACAAGGGGGGAAAAGCGGCTCCTGGCTCCTTGGATTCTCGCGGCTCCTCATGGATTCTGGCGGATTCTGTGGATCCTAGTGGATTCTGGCGGATTCTGTGGATCCTAGTGGATTCTGGCGGATTCTGTGGATCCTACTGGATTCTACTGGATTCTACTGGATTCTACTGGATCCTGCTGAATTCCAATGG